GCTCCAACGTGAGGATTTGACTCCTGCAAACTTCGCCTTGCAGCGGACTTGGATCTAATTTGCATCCTGGTGTTGATTTTCAGGCTGACTGCGCTGTGCTGATCGTTGCTGCTGGTGTTGGTGAGTTCGAGGCTGGTATCTCCAAGAACGGCCAGACCCGTGAGCACGCCCTGCTGGCCTTCACCCTGGGTGTAAAGCAGCTTATCGTTGGAGTCAACAAGATGGACTCCACCGAGCCCCCCTACAGCCAGGCTCGTTTCGAGGAAATCACCAAGGAAGTGAGCGCCTACATCAAGAAGATCGGCTACAACCCCGCCGCCGTTGCCTTCGTCCCCATCTCTGGGTGGCACGGAGACAACATGCTGGAGACCAGTGACAAGGTGAGGACTGCTAGCCATTCCACACATCTCAATTTGCTAATCTGACTGAACATGGACTAAACCATCAATGACTTTTGTCTGTAGATGGGCTGGTTCAAGGGATGGAAGATCGAGCGCAAGGACGGCAATGCCTCTGGAACCACCCTGCTGGAGGCTCTGGATGCCATCCTGCCACCTTCCCGCCCCACTGACAAGCCCCTCCGTCTGCCCCTGCAGGACGTCTACAAGATTGGCGGTGAGAACTGTCATAGTACTACAAGGCTAGTATTGCACAAAACCCATGTTTTTCGGTGCTTTAACAATGTTTTAATTTCTCAGGTATTGGAACTGTACCCGTCGGCCGTGTTGAAACTGGTATCATCAAGCCCGGCACAGTCGTCACCTTCGCCCCTGTCAACCTGACCACTGAGGTGAAGTCCGTGGAGATGCACCACGAGTCTCTGCCCGAGGCCGTGCCCGGTGACAACGTTGGCTTCAACGTCAAGAACGTCTCCGTCAAGGAAATCCGCCGTGGATACGTTGCTGGCGACAGCAAGAACGACCCACCCAAGGGTGCTGAGAGCTTCAACGCTCAGGTTGGTGTGGAGACAATGGTGCTGAGCGTCTTCAGGGTTGGGTTGTATTATGGAATTGGCTAACTTTTAGCGTGTCCACAGGTCATCATCCTGAACCACCCCGGTCAGATCGCTGCAGGCTATGCCCCTGTGCTGGATTGCCACACTGCCCACATCGCTTGCAAGTTCAGCGAGCTGGTTGAGAAGATCGACCGTCGTTCTGGCAAGAAGCTTGAGGACAGCCCCAAATTTGTCAAGTCCGGAGATGCCGCCATTGTCAAACTGATCCCACAGAAGCCCATGGTTGTGGAGTCCTTCTCCAACTACCCTCCCCTCGGTAAGTTTGCTTCCCAGAAGCCCTACTTGATTTGATTAGGCATATAATGTACAGCAGCTAACCCCACCTTTCCCCTGCTCCTATTTCAGGTCGTTTCGCCGTGCGTGACATGAGGCAGACAGTGGCTGTCGGTGTCATCAAGTCTGTTATCCCCAAGGAAGTGTCCGGAAAGACAACAAAGGCTGCAGAGAAGGCTCAGAAGGGCAAGAAATGAATGGCCGTTCAGGGAATGCATCAACAAGACGTGTGCCGGCAGCAGCGGGCAACCTCTTCCCTTACATCTTCCTCCCACCCTGGATCATCCTCGCTGAGGCACAGCTCTATACTCAAGGACTGGCTTATGCTGATTAAAACCCATCGCAAGAGTTTTCGCAGGAAAAAGAACTCTATGGCATTGTCACTTACCTGAATCACATGACAGTGCCTCTTCTCAGTTGAGTTTAAGTTGGAAATGGTTTAGAACTGTATCTCAATGTTAAAATGCCACATTTGATTGGAAAGAAGCTGCTGGTAACTAATAAAATATTGTCTCCGAAAAAATTGAAATTGGCTTGTCTGTATCCTTCACAGTTGCAGTTGATATGACAGGCGAGCCTCTGTCATGTGCTGCAGCTGTTTTTTATCCATGCTATTTGTGTCCAGTGATGCACTTGTCATCCAATCGCCTCCATAGGAGATATGCCACCCCAGCCAATAGCACCCCTTATTTTAGTCTGACACACAACAAGAGCAATGCACATCCCTCCCTCTCCTCTAGTTCGGTATATAAACACCGGAGAGATCACGCTCTGTCCTTTTTTGCCTCCGCTCGAAATCTCTGGACGTCTTGGTAGTTGCTGGACACAGGTTGGTGAATTTCATTGAAAATGCAGATGTTGGAGCTAAATTTTTAACATTGATGCATTTCCACAAAAGCTGGGGTATTAGAGCTAAAATCCTTTAA